CGTGTGCATTTATGGCCCATGTGCACGTTAAAGAACACAGTACACTCTTCGGAAAAGAGTAGGGGATTGTCTCCCGGTGTACTGTCCAATCACCACCAGAAGGACCCCACTGGAAATAAGCCTTCTTCGAGACTTTCGTGGGCTATCCTTGGTGTTTACACCGAATAAATCCAATGCAATCCAACATGGCCGGTGTAAGTCATGTGATTGCGATCCACCCAATCACACGCGCGTATATCGAATCCCTTGAAACAGAGTTGGCCAAACTCACTCTATCTACGGCTCTGCTAAACAGAGGCCCTAATAATAGCTTCTGCAAGCTGCCAGCTGAATTGCCTGTATGACGAAGATCGACTGATAGTGGAACGAAACATAGCAGTGGCAGGGGCCCATGTTGGAAAAGGTCATTTCCGGGATATCTGCTGTGGTGGGTCAAAAGGGGGGGGGACTTTCTCAGATGGAGGATCTAGATCACCTCATCCCCACCATAGTTGGAGGTGACAGGCCCATAGCCAGGTCGTGAGTGGATTTCCCGTATGATTAAAAATCGTAACTGTACTGCATCGTGAATGGATTTCCCGTACGACTAAACATCGTAACGGTACAGTACTTGGTTTGGTCTACAGGAGTTCGTGCTTCGAACAGGTCATTCCATTCATAGAAGAAGCCTTTTCATAGAGAAATTGTAACTTTTAGCAAAGGTTTGTCTAGGTCGAAACTAACTCCGGCTGTATAAAAATTGATTAGAATATTGAAAATGTTATACATAAACCTATTTCTAGATTACAGAAAATATGTAAATCTGTATTAAAATGATATAAATTTATATATATATACATAGAAATATTATGCGTAAATATGTATTTAGTATAACAAATTAAATTTAAACGAAAATATGGAAGAAGCAGAGGAAGAAAGAAGAATTGGAAAAAATTGAAAATGAACAATAACAATCATTTTTTCATTATTGCATCACGTTTTTGTGAAAATAACCCATCTTAAAGGACTATCTGTCGTTTTCTTCTTCATGGTTTGCCGGAGTTGCCTATGGCCTACTAAAGTCATCATCGACGAATCGATGGACACCAAAAAGATATAACAATGTTATGTTTTTATACTAATATTATAGGCCTAATATTATTTTTGTAACAGCATGCGTTCGATCAAACAGCCCCTAACTTTATAGACACTATGAGCACTAACTGATTATGATATTATTTTACAATTATTGACCTTTGTTACTGTCCTTATAAGATAATCTATTGGTTTAAATTAATCAGACTTATTTGAGTGTTTCGTAATCTAGGCCTATGTTGTTTTGTGTGTGGGGGGGGGGTGTGTGGGTGTGTGTGTGTGTGTGTAGTATGTAACCTTTGTAAATATGACCATACTGTTTTGTGTAATTTCTCTCAAATCAATACAATTCAATTTAATTTAATTATCAAACACAAAATATACAATTTGAAATTCCGGTTGCTTGTTTACAGATTAAAAATATACTTATTGATACAATCACATACAAAATTGTAAAAGTTAAAATATTAAAAATAGCTGGCTAAAATAGAGTTCTCAACAATATCAAGCAAATGCATAAAAGCATATGTGTATAAAATGAACTGAAAATGTAAAATATTTGCATAGACTGTTATCCGACATAATAACTTTGAATTTTGTTTGAAGGTTTGCATGGCGAAGTAATAATACTTATTATTAATGTTTGAGGTACGGTTGCCAACCAACAACAACAGTTCTTTTCAGAACTATCTACGTGGTGTACCGCAAGTATTAATATAACTTTGAATTTATTATCGGCAGTATTGTGAACAACATCATAATATATTCTTGTCTTCTTGGTCTCTATTATTCTTCAGCTGTCTTATTAATTCGTGGTACAGTTTTTCATGTTCTGTTTATGAAGGTTGCTAAACCAAACTATGCACTAAAGCTTATAACGGATAACATTACCGCCTCATAAATGGAATTTCTTCAATAAAAGAATAGATTGATTGATTGATTGATATTGACTGGGATATCGAGACTATATAAGGGATGGTATAGTCTCGATTGTTGCCTCGCGTTTTTCTTGATCAAGTTCAAAAGTTTAACAATCTCTTAGAAGTCCCCGGCTCTTTCATACAACCTGTTTTGAGATGGCTTTTCATGACAGCAGTTGGCGTTTCAAATGTTCAAATATCCAAGATGTCTGCCGCTATTAGATTTGTAAGTATTTTGATTTTTCTTGAATATTTTGGTTATCTGGAAGGAGGAATGTTGGGAGCATTTGTTTTACCACACGGTGGAATTGCTGCAGATCCAGAGAATTTTAACACAACCAACTCAACGGCGAAATTAGAGGCACAGATATTACATGACACAGTTCAATACGTGGGAAGAAGAATCTCCGAATTAAGCCCAGATCTTATTTTTCTCAGTACACCACACGGAATATCGGATTCGAAAAATTGCCTCTGGAACTGGAGGAACAGATAACTGTAACTGTCCGCCGTGTTGTGTAAATGTATCTGTATATCTGGATTCTAACGTTACTAAACTACTACTTGAAATACTAGAAACGAGACAAAATATAAGTGGAGCGACGGCATTCGGTCCCCCGGGAGGATCGACTGAACCCTTTCCGCTAAGGTGAATAAAAGTTCAGTATAGGCCTATACCGGCCAGTATTTATCTGATAACAGTGTGTTTTTAGATGTAATTAATTATCTCCTCATACGATTATCAGTTTTTATTATACACTTATATACACTTATAAACATCAAATGTTTCCTTTCAGATGGGGTGAAGTGATACCATTGTCATTTATAAACAGAGATACGTTAAAAAGTACTAAGGTTGTAATTTTATCCCATCCAAGCAGGCGATACAATGATGTTGTCAAAATGGTTCCTGAGCTCATAGATATTGGTTTGTTCGATTTAGACCTACATATTGTATGTAAGACACACAATGAACAGCAGCACAAAAGGTCTTAGCATCATTATTGAAGCCTCAATTTAATTTTAAAAATGACCTTAACCGGGCCCCAACATGTTTCGGCTGTGGACTTACTTTGCACCTGAGCAGTCTCAGATTATACATCGGCAACCTCTTTATGCTTTGAAATCATTGTCTAGCATACCACGAAATGGAGATTGAGGACTAAACAGGCCTATGTATAAAGATGGAGTACAATCAAGTTATACAGTATTATATATATATAAGACAAAGTAAAAAGACAAAGTTACATGTTGTTTGTTCAGTGAGTGTTCTCACTGAATTTACAGCCCGCACATACGAATTTATAAACAACACGTGAGCGGAGACCATATAGGTATTAAGCCGGCTACGTATATATAGAAAGAAATTGTATATATTGTGAACAAAGGCGATTAAAAAAAAACCCTCTCGTTTCTTACAGGTGGATCACTTTTAGGTGGATCACTTTTTGATGTACTTGAATTGTCTGGGAAAAAATATGTTGTGATCATCAGCTGTGATCTTGCGCATACTCATGATAAAAATGGCCCCTATGGGTTTTCACCTGCAGCAGCCCCATTTGATGAGGTTTGGACAGTACCATTTTTTTGTTTACAATTAAATGTTGTTTTAAGCCACATTATCTCCGCTAATTGTTTTCTCAATATAGAGTACATATTTGTAATGTTAACATTACCGTACAATATTTTTATGACAAAATAATTTAGGTCTATATTTAATTATATATTATATTGTAACGATTCAGTTATAGATAATACATATGTCAGATATATATATATATGTATATACATATATGAATATACATATATATGTATATATATATATGTACTATAATTAAACATGTTACAAATTAAACTCTCTTCACTTCGACCTGTTTGTCTATTCTGTTCTACATTTCTCTATTTTAACTTTTTACATGAATCAAAGCATTTTGCTCGTTCTTCCCCCATTGTTCCGGCTCCGGTCTACTTACTGTAAAACTTATATTAATAACCCATTATTCTATATAGTAAGCCAATACTCTAATAGTAATCCACCCTAAAAAAAAACAACGAATAGTAACCCAAGGTTACTATCAGAAGTTTTACGGTATATGTAATGTATTATTTTGCAGGCTTGTGGCAATTGGGCTGAGACATTGGATGGAAAATATTTGACTGTGACAGCCGCTGGGTACGTGGAAAAAGCATTATCATGTGGGTACACGGGGTTGGTGATGTTGCATGGGATTTTGAATAGGTCAAGCATGGAAACAGCCTGGAAACCAACTTTACTAGCCAACTATCACCCTAGTTACTATGGGATGATGGTTGCTTCGTTTGAAAGTCCCGACATCGTGCTGTATAGTTAAATACAAGTATTTATAACGATCATGATGACAAAAATATTTGTATTTTATTAAATAAAAATACATCTAGTTCTACAAAGCCTTGATTGTACTAAATAACAGAAGTTTGTGTGCGCACATTCGATCTTCACTATCTGTGGCTGTCTTTAGGTCTAACTTAAA